GAATCATTATATCCTTTTGCTGAATTGACCCCTTCATCGTTATATAATGACCTCTTTGTCTCTTTTTACAGGTTTTATCTTGAAATCTTTCTTATCTGATAGAAGTATAGCTACTCCTGCTCTTTTTTGGTTTCCATTTGCATGGAATATCTTTTTCCATCCCTTTATTTTCAGTCTATATGTGTCTTTATAGGCGAAGTGCGTTTCTTGCAGACAACATACGGGTGGCTCTTGTATTTTTACCCATTCAGCCACTCTGTGTCTTTTGATTGGAGAGTTTAGTCCATTCACAGTCAATGTTGTTACTGATAGGTGAGGACATGCTGCTGCCATGTTGTTATTTAATTTCTGGTTGTTTTGTGGTTCTTTCTTTTCTTTCTTCCTTTCTTCACTTTCTTCCTGTCTTCCTTTGTTAAAAGTGATTTTCTCTGGTAGTGTATTTTAATTTCTTATTTTTCATTTTGTATGTATCTGTTCCATGTTTTTTGATTTGAGGTTACCATGAGGCTTGCAAAAAACCATTTTATAACCAAATATTTTAAATATATGACAGCTCTACTTACAAACAAGTAAATAAACAAGCAAAGAGAAATTTAACAGAAATTCTGCCCTTTAACTCCATTCCCTCCCCCTGCACTTTAACTTTTTGTTGTTTCCATCTTTATCTTTTTATACTGTCTCTCAAAAAGTTGTTATTTTTGATAGGTTTGTCTTTTAGTCTTCCTACTCAAGATATAAGTGGTTTATACGCCACAATTACAGCAATAGAGTATTCTGTATTTGAGTCCTTACTGTTGCCAGTGACTTGTATACCTTCGGAAGATACCATTTTTTCTTTTTGGAGACAGAGTCTCTGTCATCCTGGCCAGAGTGCAGTGGAGTCATCGTAGCTCACAGCAATTTCAAACTCCTGGGCTCAAGCAATCCTCCTGCCTTACCCTCCCAAGTAACTGGGACTACAGGCTCGCAACACCATACCCGTCTAATCTTTGTATTTCTTATAGAAATGGGGGTCTCATCTTGTTCAGGCTGGTCTTGAACTCCTGAG